TAGAGGATGGCACTGGACATGGAGTAACACTGGAACTCGGAGCAAAGGAGGTGTCTGAAACACAGGGTGCATATAAGTCTTGAAGGGCACAGGGGTTCTGCTTCAGGCAGATGTGTTGTGTGCTATCTCTCTTAGCTCTCTCCCCTGGCTGTCTCTCCTCGCTCTCTCCCCTGGCTGTTTCTTCTCGCTTTCTCACCTAGCTGTCTCTCCTCTCTTTCTCTCCAGGCTGTCTCTCCTTGCTCTCTATCCAGGCTGTCTCTCCTCGCTCTCTCTCTCCTGGCTGTCTCTCCTCCCTCATCCTCCTGGCTGTCTCTCCTCACTCTCTCTCTCCTGGCTGTGTCTCCTCACTCTCTCCCCTGGCTGTCTCTCCTCACTCTCTCCCCTGGCTGTCTCTACCCCTTCTCTATCCTGGCTGTCTCTCCTTGCTCTCTCCTCTGGCTGTCTGTCCTCTCTCTCTCTGGCTATCTCCTCTCTCTCTCCCTTAGCTGTCTCTCCTTGCTCTATCCCCTGGCTGTCTCTCCCCTCTCTCTCTCACCTGGCTATCTCTAATTGCTCATACTCCTTGCTGAGAGTGCTCTCCTCACTCTCTCTCCTGGCTATCTCCTTGCTGAGAGTGCTCTCCTCACTCTCTCTCCTGGCTATCTCCTTGCTGAGAGTGCTCTCCTCACTCTCTCTCCTGGCTATCTCCTTGCTGAGAGTGCTCTCCTCACTCTCTCTCCTGGCTATCTCTCCACTCTCTCCCCTAGTTGTCTCTCCTCGCTCTGTCCCCCGGCTGTCTCTCCATGCTCCCTCTTCTGGCTGTCTCTCCCAGCTCTCTCACCTGTATATTCTACAAAACAAATTGCATCGGGCCGCTAAAGAGTTCAGGTTTCGCTTGAAGAAAAGGCTGTATGTATGATATGACCGGTGTACAAAGTAAGTACTGTGAGAATATGATTTGGTTGTCCATGTGTAGCCAGCATACCCTGAGCATTCTCATGCTTTCCATTTAAATAAAATGCAGACTGTAAAGAGATTTAACCTGAAAGTTGGCTATTCACTTCAGGCTGGTACGGCTGATTTCAGCCCTATATCGGCTGAAATCAGCCGTAAGTAATACTTTTTCATTTTAAAGTGTAGAACTTTGCAGGAAATGTTTTCATAGATAAATACTTAGGGATTTGTAAATAGAATATCAGTAACCAATTACTTTTTTTCCAAAAGAGGATAGGATAGGCAAAGCAAGCAGGATATTTATTAGGTTGTCAAATTGGACAAGAGGATAGCTAGGTGTGCTAGAATTCTCTCTGAATAGCATTGACCTAAGAATCGTCAATAATGTGCAATCAATAGCACCTTGCGTATCGCCAGCAGCTCCCAATGACTTTCATCTGCTCTTTCTGTTCCCATGCCTAGTAAATAAGCCAGCAGTATTACCAAAACCTCCTATTTGTGCAAAAACACTACCTAGCACTACCTTATTCTCTAAAGGCTTAAATTTAAATAAAGTATACAATAACAGTATACAAACTACACATTAGAGATCGTTACCCAAGTACCAATGTCTTCAGTGTGGAACAATACAATGTTTGTAAAAGCTGCTTATTGACTAATATGTTAAGAAACATTAAATAAAAACACAGTCATTTCTTTTAAAAATGTACAGTTCTTCTGCATACACTAATCCGGTCTACTAAGTATTTTTGAGTTGGGGTTGTTATAAGTAAAGGAGTCAAGAGATTCTTGATGAATCCGGTCCACCAGCAAAGCTAATTTCTGGAGGGTTAGAGTGCTTCTATGTGTTGGGCTGTTGGAAAAACCTTTGCACGCTTTATTTTATGGTGTTTTGTGGCTTGAATGAGTAAGAGAATCCATAGAAAATTTCTACAAACTTGTTGCCATCGGAAATGTGGAGGTAACATTTTTTTAGTGCATGTTTTTGTTATGAGAAAGGCTGCAGTGCCATCTATTGCTGGATCTCAGGAAACTTCTTTGTGAAGACCATTGTGACCATGCCAACCATTTATCTCCTTAGCTGGAGAGAAAATGATTTTATTAATTGCTTCATTTATCCCCCTTCTTTTTGCCTAGATGTGATTGGCTAGGCTGGTAACCAGTGGGACTGGGCTCACAGACTTAAACCAGTGACTGCCATATGTCTCTTATTAGCCCTGGACGTTAATTGCAAGGCAGCAGGAAGAAGCATTATTAAATATCAAAGCAAATGCTCTGGCTGTAACCCCTTCTGTACCACGTGTGGTTGGAGTAAACTGAAGTATCTGTACCTCAGGCAATGAATAGTTTTATAACACATAAGACATTAAATGAAAACATTCGGCCACATGACAACCATTCTGCTTGTGTGGCTGATGAAGAGTAGTATTAGATTTTTTGCTTTCTGAACAGGAAGCGTGTGCACTGAAAGGCTGCTGGTCATGTTGTGAGATTACTTCTCTGAAAAATAGTAGCAGCACCTAGTAGATTGGCAATAAATGTGCAGCATTTTCATTTATCAGTCATTATAGCTTATATATTTTAAAAAACACTGAGTAACCATAAACACTACTTTTACAGTTTGATTGCTAAAATGCACTGTGTTCAAGGCTTATCAGTCCACTCATGCTGATATAAAATTGTGAATCAGCTAAAAGTGACCAAACCATTCATCTAATTGTTTGTTAAGCATTGCCACCAAAAGGGTTGTTTGTTGCAGGCCAGCATCTTAAAGGAAACCTGTCATGACAGTAATACAGAGGATGATTTTTCTCATCTCCTTCTGAAAATGCTAGCTGTCTTCTTGTCATGCTGACCCAGTAGTCTCACCACACTGAGTCAGAGACCCAGAACAAACATGCAGCAAGTGAAGTCAAAACTCCTGATTAATGTATTTGTTCTGGTTCAATGACTTGTAAGGTTTTTCAGCCAAGCACATTGCGTTAACAGTAGGTCAGAAATTTCATCCTCCAGACGGAGGATAAAAGTTTCCTTTTTTTAAGGAAACACTATTATTGCACTGGGTTAAGACTGTTCCCTTTCTTAAACTCTTCTGTTTAAATATATATAAATAGTTGAATTTGAGGTAAGCTGTGACCCGCTGGAAGCAAAAAAAAGACTCGGTGACTCCATAGGAGGACTTTTAAGTGGTTTGGGTCGCTGAAGCTGCAGATGCAGGGTTGCTGGAGGAGCCCACCTCTGAAGCAGTTGCAGAGTAGCTGGTATGGCTGTCTGTTGGTGACCTGAAGAGGGGTTTGGGACTGTTATCTCCATGGTGGTAAAGGAGCTGGAGACTCCTGAGACCAGAGCTACAGAAGCAACAGAACCAGCACCTGCGCCTGAAAACACTCATCAGGTGGTTGTAAATGTCCTGTTTTCAGGGGGGACTGCTGTGGTCCCTATGTAATTGGATCGGCCATGGATGGAGATGCAGCCAGCAAACTGAGTACCTGATCCAACTTTCATATACACAAAATGTAATTCCAAACTTTTATTACTTTCATGACAAACCAATAAAACCCACCTTGACAGCGCCTAGCTTGTCCTATAATAATGTTATAGAAATAACATTATACTACTTCCTCTGTCAGCTCTACAATTTTCTAGGTTACCTGCCTGCTGATTGGATAGAGCTGGTGATGCAGATTTATTAACCAGTGATTGGGATGGAGGTGGGGAGCTAACATTGAGAACTGCAAACTTGCACCCCAAAATAGAGTTGTCACCTGTCTTGAACATGCAGTATTGCAAGGGCGTTTAAAACACAAGATTGGCTGAACAGAATTATAAATCCTATAACAGGTAATGCAATTTACAGTGGTGTATTTCAACTGAACTGTGTATTTAAAAAAAATTGAGTTTTACCTTCCAAGTATTCATATGGTAATCTTATAAAGCTTTCCTATGGAGTCCAGATAGAACTTGATAGACATAGTTCAATCCATCTATATCGTTACATGTGTTATCATATAATTTAATAAATAATCTTGACTATTTTATTGTGTGCACCATTATATATTTCAGATAGCCAGGACTGAATGCCAAGAGGTCGTAGCATCCCACTTTTTGGCTAGCCCTCCATGAGGGAATTGTAGTTCCACAGTATCTGGAGACTCTTAGGGATACATGCATATCTAGTGAAGATATTTACTGAAATAATCTTCAAAAGGGAGAAGCAAGTCTGTCTGGGTTCAGCCCGGGAACAGTTTCACAAATCTTGCTCAAAGTTTACAAACTTTGTGGTAAACACAATTGAAGTCTATGAGGAGCAAATCTTGTTATTCAGTTCTGGCTATTTCTAGGGCTAATAAGCAAATGATTGTCAGAAAAAAAGGTATAAAAAGCTACGCAAACTTTGCAAACCCCAGGGATTTCCCGCAAACCCATAGTAGGGAGTGTGACAAACCCAAACTTGCCCTAATCTTCAGTCTTTGGATAGTTAAAAAATTGATATCTGATCCCTCTGCTACATACTGGGTTAAAGCATTTGTAAAAGTGTTATTAATTTTACACTGAAAAAAAAAATCAGTTTGTTAGTTAAAACCACATTTGAATTGTTTAGTTGTTGAAGTGTTTAATTATGTTTTATTATGACACTCTCAATTTACCCAATAATGAAATGTGAGTGTAAGGTCCAGTGAATTAAATCACCCACTGACTTTTATATCTCTAGGGTATTCCAACAGCACAATTCCCTGACACTGAACCTACCCTTCTTTATGTCTCTTCACCTAGTATAACAAGGATGTCCCCATTCCTCTTGTTGCATTCTCAATTATTTGAATTGAAATAAAAATCCAACAGGGAGAATAGGACCCCCTTCATTAGGCCTGTGGAAAATCTGCAGACTAGGTATTTCAAGCTCAGAGATCTCACCACTAGAAACCCCCAAAAATATAAGAAATTATAAGGGGTTTTTAACAACGGCAGCTACCAAAAATGTAAGCATCAGTATTAAGTCGAATGACCCTTACTATGTCTCGTACAATTTGCTGAAATACCTGTTTTAACCAATATTTTTTTTATAGGGGCCTCCTGGTTCTCAGCCATCACCTCATGCACAACCTCCTCCACACAACCCCAACAACCCCATGATGGGTCCACACAGTCAGGTAATTCTAAGCAGTATGCTACATAGCTACATTGACATTACCTATAATGCTCTGCCTTTTGATTTTGGAAACAGTTTAAGCTGTTATGGATGGAAATTATCATTTAAAGTACAGAGTATGTGGCAAGTTCATTATAGCTATAACTAAATTATAATGCCTTTATGCAGTTGGTGACACAAGGTGATCAACTTCTTCCATATTGGTCTTCAGAGAAGCTATGCATTCATATTTAACTGCAAATCTTTCCCATGCAATCCCAGGTAATCCAAATTACAGCTAAACTACTGAAAGGAACAGTCCTACTGATTTTATTTTTGCATGTTATGAGAAACTAAGGGGGTTATTCACAAAGCTGCCAAAGGCTCCTTTGTGAATACCCCCTAAGACAATAAAAAGTATTGTATAGGAATTAAAGCATTGAATTGCATTACAGGTGTGTTGAATAAAAGCCGTTTTAACTCAATGTACAATCAAGACAAGTATTTTCATTCTGAGGTTGTATGACAGAGCACTTTCATTGGTTTTAGTCCTTCTCTACATCATTATTTTCAGTTACAAGCCCAAAGTTGAAGAGAAAACAGGCCACAATGCTAACCAGTCATACAAGTACACACAGATCGGATCATTGCATTTAACACAGGTTTTTTGTGACAGATAGTTTGTTGCAATAAATGTCAGCGCTGCAATTTTTACTATTGACATTTATTTGTTTAGACACATTTTTGCACACAATAATATTTTTGGCACTACTAATGGTATAACTTTTCTTGGAATTATCTTCAGTGAGAGTACTAGCACTGACCATAGGGTGTAGAGTGTCAGTTTATTTTTTTTCCTCTGTGTCCTCTTTCCCTTCACCTCCCACAGTCAGAAAAGGAAGTGAGAGGACATCTCTACAAAGTGAGTGGATTTCTCCCCCTTTACAGTTCTAACCAGAACTGTGTGATTGAAATATTTCCCCCCACCTCCTGTTCTAGCAATGGCTGTAACATTTTGGATTTTCCATCACTTTCTGTCCTAGTGCCAATGGTCCCAGACAGACATTAATAGAAACAGAATGGAGCTCCATACCCATCCCTACTCAATCCAAAAGCAAAACATAAAACATATTTTGGATTCAACAATTGCATGCTTGTTCAGGGTTAATGACACAGACAGCAACAACGTATCGATTATGAGAATAGTTAGCAACTATTCTCATTATCAGTTAGTTGGTTGGGGAGAGAGAGAGAGGGAAAGAGAGAGAGAGAGACAGAATGAATTTTAATGCAACCAATCGATTCGTTAAAAAAATAATCTGGCAACTAATTGAATTATGAAAATAATCGTTAGCTGCAGTCCTACAAAACACTGTTCTTTGTTGTTCAGTAAGGGACAGATCAACACGAGTTATTTTGATATGATTGGCTGCTTGTCAGGAGGAACTGGACACTGACAAACAAAAAAAATGTTGGCCAGCCAGGTATAATTCCAAGCATGCCTCAGTTTTTTTGCTAGTGTTGCTAGGAGAATGAGCATCTTTCTGAGAAAGGTTTCCCCCTTTTTTCAGTTTTTTACACTTTTCCTCAAGACTTCAATCAAGAATTCATCTACACACTGCTATGTTCAGGTGGCCATACCTGGACCCAGCAGGACAGAAGGTTGTGGATCTACTTTGCAATGTGCCCTTCGGCACTGAGTTCTGACAGTGACTCTATTAAGTCTGTCTGGTATTGTTTTAGCCACAGAGCGCTTTTCAGGTACAGAGCCATGGCACTGCTGATGATGTGTTCAGTCTCTCTTGGCTCTAATTGTTATGCCACATGAAGCTGAACTTCGGGAGCTACTAGACTTTGGTATATTTTACTGCTGCCATTATATCCCTATTCCATTGCACTCCATGGAATAAGCTTGCAGATAAATTTGATTACTTTATGTTCTTATGTTTTATGTGTGTGTAGTTGGACTACAATTTCAAAGTGACAGGAAACTCTGGCTGTCACCATGGAAAGACTTGAGACACTCATTAACATAAAAATGCTTCTAGATCTTTAACCTTTTGTTTTAACGGACAGACTTCAAATCTAGTTTACAACTTATAATTACATCTGCCAGCACAGTGCAGACAGGGTTAGTGAGGTTAAGGATTAACTTCCTACCCTCTTTGCATTCCAGAGGAAAAATCAGTTTAGAGAAAATATTTTCTTTCAGAAAAGAGCAAGTAAGCAGCCATTTTTATAGTGCCTCTTGGGTTTTTAAAGCATCAGGCAACTGTTTCCCAGATTTGCAATGCTGCCACCTGGTCTTTTGTTCATACATTCTTTAAGTTTTACTTGGTAGATGTTCAGGCCTCATTGATGCCAGCTTCAACTGTAAGATTCTTCAGGCAGCTCTGTGTTGTTGAGGCAAGCTGGGAGTGGAAGGGGTTATACCTGGCTGGTCAATGGCTTTTTTTGTATGCCAGTGTCTAATTCCTCCTTAAGGCTGCTGTAAGACCCAATTATATCAGAATAACTACTGATCCTTTGTCCCGTCACTGAAATGAAAAAAAGTTTGAACCTCTGTTGGGTTATCATTAGTGTTGATGTCTAATTAGGTTATGGCTAAAGAGCTATTTTAAATAAATTAATAGATCAGCTTCCTGCAAAGAAAACAGTGAATGGTTACCTTGTCCCACTTCTTTGAAGTTCTAAGTTTACTGAAGAATGTTCAGCATTTGACACTACCAGTAGTGTCGGATGTTGGCTTCCCTATTGTGCTCTGTGGTTTCCTCCACCATCCCCTAGGGCATTGCAGGCCACAGAGGGGGAGGAACTACAGAATGCAGTAGGGAACCATAAATCTGACACACTGGAAGTGTTCCAGATGCTGAAAATTTTTCATCAAGCTTAGAACTGCAAAGAAGCAGAATTTGGGGGTGTGGGCAATGGGACAGGTAAATATGAATTGCTTTCTTTGCAGGGAACTGCTTGTTTCATTTTTTTAAACCGCTTTAAAGATTAGGTTTATAAGTTTCCTTATGTCATTGTGAGATGAAACATCTACTGTTTCTGATCCTTGAATAGCATCTCTTGCCTAATGTTTGGCATATCCTTTTGGAAGATAACAATAAAGCAATAATTCCATGCCATCAAATCAGATTTTTACCGTTTGCATATTTACATCTGCCCAGTCATATGGTATTTCGCAGTTCTAAAGATAGAAGTATTTTTTGCCCATAGCATGCAGCGTGTCCCTTTTATTGCAGTATAAGACATTAAAGAGGAGACTCCAGTGCAGCCATGGGCTGCAAAATCATATTTACCTTCTCGCGTCATTTATCAGAGCGTTTCTTTTGTACATAAAAAATAACAGCTACACATTTTTTCAACTACTCTCTGTGGATCTACCCTAAATAACAAAAGAGCATCTTAAGCCCAAGAGGATCTATTAGCCAGTCTAATGATCTCTTCAGACAGTCTCTCCTCATAAAACTATATTATATCATAATGTGGATAATCAATCATGGGATGGGATTGCTGGATAATTTATAGCAATTACCTTATTAATATTTCCTTATTTTTGTGTTCTCAGCCGTTCATGTCCCCTCGGTATCCTGGTGGCCCTCGACCTTCCCTCAGAATGCCAAATCAGGTCTGTTTACAATAACCTTCAAGTATTAAATGCATAGCTCATAGTAGTAATGCTTTAGTATCAGGATCAGTAGAACAATGCATAACCGTCAGTGAAACCATCTGTCTAAATCCTTAATAGATATAGTAGACCTAGAGATAGAGGCAGCTGAACTCATATGCAAATATCAACTTTTTCTAAAAAGTACCAATGTGATGGGTAACCTCCCTTAGAGTAATAGGGAAACTCGCAAGTTGGGGGGCTTAGATTTTAAAGTTGAGATTTGCTTATAACTGTAGTTGCCTCTAGATCTGCTATATCTACTAAAGATGTGGACACTGGACAGGTGCTTTTACTGAATGTGATCTCCTCTTATGCATTTTTTTTCGTTGAATGTTTTTTTTTTTAATACCCAGATGTATGATATGTCTGCTTTAAGTATTATTCCTAAGTATTCTTGCTCTAATTATTGTTCCTACATAACATATAACATACAATTTTGTTTTCTATAGCCCCCTGTTGGGGTTCCAGGTTCACAGCCTTTGCTGCCAAACTCCATTGACCCAACACGGCCACAAGGTATGACTCTCTCTCTCTATCTTTATATATAATCATACACTTTAAGTATATTGTATAGTGTACATTAAAGGGCAGATTTATAAAAACTTCGCCTAGCACATAGCTGGGCCTGGGTGAAAGCCATTTTAATGGAATTACTGCTGCTTGATGGACTTGAAGAGCATAGGAAATTCCTATGCTCCTTAGCTCTAAACAGCTGCTGTAATACTGAGCGAACCCAATAAAGCTAGACCCCTTAGTGCATTCTAGTATGTTTACTATCTGGCATATTATGTTCAATCAGCTATGATGTAAACCCATATAATGTATTTATGTGCCTAAAATCGCAATCTGTAAAACATAATTTAAAAGTGTGTTAATCAGGCCCGGATTTACTCTGGCCGGGTTCCACAACCCAGATAGCAAGCAATTGAGCTGCAAGTTTGAAAATGACTTGCTAAACTATTGCTAGACTTGCTTCACAATTTTTGCTGCACAATTACAGCAAGTCTGCATTGCAAGTCTCCAGATTAACGTGCTTTGCAAAAGTGCTGTACACTTGCAGAGCTCTTGCTAAGACCTGCAGCTGTAGACTTGCCAAGCAAATTTGATACAAATTCAAAAAGTGTCAACTAGAACTTGTGCTGCAAGTGTGCTGCAAGTCTACAACTTGGCAGGAAATTAGTGCAGCAAATTAACAAGAATTACAATTTAACCCTGCCACAAGTTTGTGGCAAGTTATCCTTGCTATCTGGGAATGTATCCCCTCCCTGCCAACCCACCCCCCATGGAGAATGGCAACCAAATGGCGGGGGCAGCAGGGTTTGTTTTAATTTTTTTCATGTTTTCTTTATTTATTTTTACTTTTTCATTTATTTATTTACTTTTAAAAAATGTTATTCATTGTACTATCTTTTACTTTTTTATTTTTTATAAATGTTTTATT